GATAATGCCAATTTAATGTGCTTTGTAAAATATGATTCAAAGACTCAATTCGTGAAGATTTATTGTTTTGTAAACCACTTCCAACAAGAACAATGGCTGATGAAATTTTTAATTAATCAATAATTTTATAATTCATAGTAGTATTCAATGGAAAAAATGTGTTGGATTGAGTACCGATGGTGCTCGCTCAATGGCAGGTTCCCATACAGGAGCTTTCCAGAGGATCAGAGCAGTAGCACCAAACTGTGAATGCGTGCATTGAAGCATTCATAGAGGCATTAGCTGTGAAGAAAATGCCCTTATATTTGAATTCAACTATGCAAGAATGTGTTAAATTCATAAACTATATAAAATATCTTTCGTTGAATTCCAGATTCTTTACTGCTTTGTGCAAAGAATTAGAAAATGAACACGAGCATCTCCTATTATACTGTGAAGTTCAGTGGTTATCAAAAGGAAATGTCTTAAAAAAGCCCATCAAAATGTAGAATTAAGTTATCTTGTTTTTGGAGCAACATCCCCCATCAGCAAAGGATGCAATATTTGAATTTAGAGACAGGTTTCATAATTTGTATTGGTTAATTAAGGTGGCCTATTTATGTGACATTTTTGGCTTCTTAAATGCATTAAATATAAATTTACAAGGTGCTAACATAAATATTTTTAAAGTCCAAGAAAAGATAGAAGCAGCTATAAAAAAATTAACTTGTGGGTACATTGAGTTGAGAAGAGAAATTATAAGTCTTTCTCTACTTTAACAGAATTACCAAGATGAAGAAGGTAATATTCCAGATGGGATTTCCTCATCGATCCAAGAGCATCTTTTGGGGCTAAACTCATGCTTGAAGGAATATTTTCCTCCAATTGTGGATCAGGAACCCTTTTACTGTAGACACGGAAAATGAGAAAGGATTACAACTTAGTGAATCAGAAACTGATTCTATTACTGAACTGTCCTGTGACACCACACTGAAAGACCATTTTAGTCAAGTCTCGTTAATTAATTTTTGGCTGAGCTGTCGTGCTGATTATCCAAATTTATCAGGAAAAGCAATGAGATTTCTTATGCCCTTTGTCATGAGTTATAAATGCGAATCAGGCTTCTCAATGTTGGTTTTCTTAAAAAGCAAGTACAGGAACAGATTAGATGTCGAGCCAGACTTGAGGATCAAACTGACTTCTTTTCCCCCTGATTTGAAGTTGCTGTGTGATGAAAAACAGCATAATCTTTCTTAAAAGAGCATTAATAAATATACAGTTAATGTAAGGATTAAATAACAATGAAGTATAATTTCCTCTTACACAGTAGTACTATAAAACACCTGTATATTTTATAATCGATGATGTATTGATAGAACTATTGCTTCCAGCTTGATGTTAAGACTTAGCCAGGTCTTAGCAAGTTATCTAATTAGGTATTTGAGGAGGCTGGGCCTCCTGAAACATTACAAAAATAAACTGGTCCCTAGTTGGAAAATGCTATAATAATGTATTTTTACTAAAGATTTGCCTACAAATTCACAAAGTCAGTCTGACTCAGACTCTAACTAGTATGAGTGCAAGGTAATTTCATGTTAAAAATGAATACACTTTTTATATTTCATTTACATAACCTCGAGAATTTCCTAAATGATTATCATTTTTTCTGTAAAACTTTATCTTTTATTTCCTCTACTCTAACTGATGAAATCATCTGCAGTGAGTTTAAATATATTAAATGAAATTAAAGATATGATTATTTTTTCTGGAATGACTGCATATTGTACTGGACAATTATATATCCTAACAGTGTTTGATCTTCAACCTGTTTACAAATGCTTTCATTTAATGTTAATGCTCTTTGAACTGTGTCTAACAAACAAACTAATGTAACAAAGTAATACATCACCTGGTGAGAGCCTGTAAACAAACTACTGAATTACATAACATTTGTGTGTCTACCTCACAGAGAAATGTTATGTATTTATTTCATTTAGGTTTTCTTATCTAATCTAATAAACTTTTTAATTTTACATTTTAGTTACTTTTATCAAAATAAAAAATATACATAAAAACAAGAAATTTAGTACATCTATATTGGCTCTTGCACTTGATTCTAGATGTTTCATCAAACTTAACCCTACTTTTTCATACGGTTATTCATAGTGTATAAAATTATTTTATTGAAAATTCAAATATACAACTTAGAACACAATGCTAACATGCAAAAAATATAATGTCCTAAAACTATTATAACTTAACTTGCTTTCTAACTAAGCTATAAGTGGGTCATAATAATTATGATAGAAACAATGAGCTAGCCTTATGCAAAATTCAGTAAATTAAAATATTATCTTTCTTATTCTTCTCCATAATGACTTTTATCCCAACTAGTTTGGGGTCGGCTGGCAATTTTTGGAAGCCAAGAATTTTTATACCTGGGTGGCCAACCCAGATGGCAAACACATAGAACAAGCATGTTTGGTAATGGGGATTCAAACTTGTGACCCCCCACTTTGCAAGTCGAGCACCCTAACCACTAGGCCATGCCACGTCCAAAATCTTCTCTTTCTATTGGTTATAAATAACCCTACAGCAAATGTCAGGGAATTATTAACACTTTTTGAAAGGAAGGAAGTAATAAGAAGGAATGGCATGTTGGTTTGAGTTTCTGGTTTATATCTCAGTAAAGTAAAAGGATATGAGGCTATAAGTTTACATCATGTCTTAGTAGCATCTACACTATAAATAGGTAATTTATGCTAAACTTGGGAGTTGTAAAAGGTTGTGACATGTGCACTTTGGCCCTCATCTGTGCACGTAAAGTAGCTTACTTGCACTAATACTGATTATTAGTAATGGCTGATATGGTTGGGTAATCATTAGCTATGCATATAAGACAAGAAAATCTTAATTGTTCAAACACCCCTAGCATCTACTTCAAGATAAAAAATAAAACAACTTGAAACTGACAGTTGGGCAATTATGCTGTCTCTCTGTTAGAATGTATGGCACACTTCACAGTTGTTAACAAATGATATATATGAGAAATATAATTTACAGTTCCCTAATAAACTGAGATATTACACTTAATTACAAATTATTTCCTTTCTACATTTATTTTAAGTTACATGTTGCATTTTGTTAATACATCTTGTGTAATAAACCTTAACATAATTTAATTTACCAATATCATCATAATAAGGTATACTATAAACTATCATGTCTAGCGTCATGTAGTTTAAGAAGTGTCCCAGGTAATTTCATGGAATGTTAGAATGTATGGTACAGTAAGTTTGTTTGTTTGTTTTGAATTTCGCGCAAAGCTACACAAGGGCTATCTGCACTAGCCATCCCTAATTTAGCAGTGTAAGACAAGAGGGAAGGCAGCTAGTCATCACCACCCACCGCCAACTCTTTGGCTACTCTTTTACCAACGAATAGTGGGATTGACTATCACACTATAATGCCCCCATGGCTGAAAGGGCAAGCATGTTCAGTGGAATGGGGATTCAAACCCGCAACCCACAGATTGCGAGTAGAGCACCCTAACCACCTGGCCATGCCGGACCGGTAAAGTAACTATACATATAATATGATTAATGGTACTTGTTATGGACAAGTAAATATTTATGTAAATTTACTTTTAAGAAAAAATTAAAAAATATTTTTTATAGCAACTCTTAAAAATAAAAGGGTTAATTTTTATGTGAGGATATAAATGTCAGCCAATGTGCCTTACATAAGTTACATTCAATGCTGGACATTTATATGCTCAGTGCAATGATAAAAAATATAAAGCTACGTCTTACACTATTTTTATGAAACATTCCTAACATTGCTTTGTATTGTAAAAAAAAAAAATGTTGGAAAAACACTACATCACTTTTTCATAATTGCCTGGTACTAAAAAGTCTTACACACACACAATTATATATATACACATTCATAAAAATAGTTTAAGATCTATCCAGACTGTCACATCCACTAAAGTTCAAAATGAAAATAAAGCACACAAAGCTAGCCCATATAATTCACATATTTATCAAGCCTTCCCTTAAAAGTTAAATTAACTGCATTCACCACATCTGAAATCAACATATTTGAAAGTCTAACACCCTGTTAGTGTTAGAAAAATAAAGTTGTCTTAGATGAAGATGACTTCTACCCTGCTAAAATGCATATTTCTGTCACCTTGGCCTACCATTCTCAACGTTAAGTATACAAAAAAAAAGAAAGAAAAAGGCATGCATCAACACTATAAACTAATTCCCTTATCAATCTCAAACACCTCAATCAAATCCCCTCAAACTCTTCTTTCTGACTTGTAAATTGTATTCAATATTTCTGTAATCTGTAGATACAACTTCAAGGTCTATTTGGTCTGTTACAAGCAACAACACATTGCTTGAAATTTGGATGGTTTAACATTAAAAGTTTAAGTCAAGAGACTGATCAATCAGAACACTAATGTATTTTCTTTCATAACACTTGTAAGGTTATTCCCATCATTATTATACTCATAAAACAAATTATGATATCCTACATGCATTACCTTGCATTTATTACAATTAAATTTAAAAATAAAAGACATCTGCCATTTATTCGCCTAACTTGCTAAATAAACCAAATCTTTTTGAAAAGCAGCAGTATCCATGTCACAGTCACACTCACACAGTGACTCGCAGTCAACAACACTCCAAAACCTTAAAATATCACAGTCACTGTATCAGCAAATTTAAATTAGTTATTGACCATTTCTTCATCTATATCATTGTTAAAAGTAAAAAAGAACAAAGGTCTTAATACACTGAGCCTCTGTAACTATATGATTAAGGTCTGATATTATTATGACGTAATATTACTAATAACAAGTTTACTTTAGACCTTTTTAATATTTACATTAGTAATAGTACTAACTTGGTAAGTCGACAGAACTTTCGACTAGGCCTAATTTATAGTAATAATTATATATTAAGTTTTAGTTAGCATGTTTTACAAAGCCTTTCAGTATCACTTACCTACAAGAAATTAAGTTGTTTTTAGTTCGTTGTATATTAACTAATATCCGAAAACAAAATCCCAATTATTATGGAAATGTGAACATCAACAAATAAATGTGACACTTCTTACAAAGGACAAAACTCACTAAATTAAGTTGTTTACGCCATCTATTAGTCAAAAAGTTGTTTCAGGTTTCGTCATAGAGGTCGCTAAATTTGCCCTTCTGCCTAGTGTTTAACTATCAGTTTTCTTCAGCGATGACAAATAATCGATTCTTTTACGAAACACAAATGTAATCTCGTGGTGGTCATAGCACATAATGTGCGAACAGAAACATCCACACAAGTTGAAGTAGTGCCACGAAACTGTTTATAGATAACTTTTAAGTTCGATTTATAATGACGAAAGACCGACTTGCAGCGTTGAAAGCGGTAAGGACTGAAATGATGTTCAGTTTAATTTACCAATATTAACAGGACAGCTACTATAGTGTAGTTCTGGAGAATTTGTAACTTGTAGTTGTAGGTGATGCCAGTAATGCCTAATGGTACTGTTTGAAGTATTTCACATGTTCGTTTGGCTTTGAAGTTTGAATTTGATTGAATACAGAATAGTATTACTATTAGGATTAACGTACTTTTATTTTGAAATTTAGTAAAGTTTTCCAGTTGATCGTGAGTGATAAGGTAAGAAATTAAAAAAATATATTAAAATATTCTGGTATGTATTTAGAATTTTAAGAAGACAGAGGATTAAATTATCCAATTTTCATATAACATCTATTTTTGTCACATTTGTAATTTCAAAAAAGGCAAATTAAGCATTGTAAGTGTTACTGTTAGAACATATCTCATAAATGTTAATGTTTTAGCAGTGTACTGGCATGATTATTTCCAAATTTTTCATTGAAAATGTTATTTCAAAGATAATCAGACATCAAGTTTAAAATGTTATAAGTCATTGAATTTAAATATTCACCCTCAAGAGATGGTGCAAAAATTGCCTTATTATTACTAAGCAGTGATACCTTTACAATTTACATTCAAATGTTGGATTTGGTTGCATGTATGTTAACAAGGATTGTTCTATTTTTTGGGGGTTGCAAAATGAAGACAAAAGAGTGCCTTGTTATGCAGGTTTATTGAAATTTGAATTGTATTCTTAAGTTTATTATTTTTGTTAGTAACTGATTGAAGATAATGTTAAGAACTAAATACAAAATCTGTGTATGAATGGATGAAAAAATGATACTGGATAGATGATAAGTTTATCATTTTTCAACTGTATAGTTTGCATATTTTTGCCAGTATTGAAACCCCAGTAATCTACCAGATATTTTCAAGACTTGTTAGCTTTCTCTCACCTTATAATTCAGTTTTCTTTAAAATATGATTTTGTTCTGCATATTGAATCTGTTGTCATTCTTATTGCCCATGATGCTTTTGAACAGATATTTGAATTACAAAGCATTTGAGAGACCACACAAGTGACCATTAACACTTTGAGTTAAGCAGAATTAGCAAGTTTCCATATTTTTCATTGTCTGTAGCAACCACTTGTGAAAAGTGTAATTGAAACAAATAAAATGTCAATTAGATGATTCATAGGATACTAATAACTGATGTTGAATAAACAAAGATGATCCACTTATCTTTTATGTGTCTATCTTTGTCTACTTTTTCTAAAGATTCCAAGAAATAGAAACTGGTTGTTGACTGTTAGCTTACACCTTAAAATCTTAAATAACATGGAAGACTAACTTAGTCTAGTTCTTATGACATTATATATAAAGCAATGGTTAAATACCTTCATAAAATTCTTTTTAAGGATATTAGTAAGAAAAACATCCAAATTAAAAAGAGATGGTCATGTAATTGAAGAAAATGTGTAATTATTTTAAGAAATGTCTTGCACTTTCATTCATACTTTTTAGGTCACTGACAATTACATAATTAGCTAAAAAAATTATTTCTAACCATAAAATAATGCTCTTTGTTGTGAGAATGTCTAAGACTGTGTATGTGTGAGTAAAAGCTTTTCATGGTCTAGTGATTAGTGTGCTTGAATTTTGAAACTGAGACCATTAACAGGACAGCTATAAGAGTGAGGGTCAAGTCCTGCTATTTTTTGAAGTCTGTCAGTTCAAAATTATTGATGGCTGTATGCATATAGCTTTGGGTGAAATTCTGAAACAAATATACATATATATATATAAAGAAATTAATGATATTTCTGTCACTCTTTTATTTTTATTTTTTTAGACTCAAGGGGATGATGATGTTTCTGTCTCAGTTGATGACACTAGGGGTGGAGGTTACATGGATGAATTTTTTCAAGAGGTAGCTGCATTTTTGTTTTATAAGTCTTTTCAACTTTTGGGCTTACAGGATTAAATGTATAGGTTTGAATATCCTATATAACAAGTATAGAGCTCAGGAATAAAGATGCAAAATGGTTCTTAAGCAGAATTACTACCTACTTGAATTAGTTAATTTTTAAAATAGCATATGAAATAACAGTTTGATATTTTTTGTGGTTTATTTAAAGAAAACTGAGCAATGAGAATAGGTTTTAATACTTGTGCTTGTTTCTGTTAAATTGCTAAAGAACTAAAGATTATTTTATTCAAATGTTCAAGATTGTCAAGTCTTTTTAGTTTCTCAACATACAAAATAATATTGACAAATTGAACATTAGAGGTAAATCTTGTGAGCTTTGAAAGTTCAGTAATGTTCTTTAGCAGAGTTACTCTTGTTTAATTGTTAAATCTTGAAATAAAATGCCCAATCTGCTTGGAAGTGTTAATAGTTTAACATATTTTAATTTTTTTTAAGAAATAAGTAATTGAATATAAAAATATTACATTTCATTGGATGTTTGTTTTGTATTCTTTGTTTGGGAATTATAGATGTACATACAGGCTGCCACCAAACTTGACTGAATGTTTTACACATAATTTAACAGAAACAAAATTTATCAAACTTTTTAAATTTAGGTTGCAGTTCTGACAACTTAATGGCTTTCCAAAATATTAATTTGGAGATAAACATGTAAAAAAATGATCATACTATTTTTACTTTACATTTTTTCTTTATTATTTTGTATAATGCAAATGTATAAATGTTGTGAGGAACCAATTTTTGTGCACAAGCATGCTTACACTTCACCAATAAAAAACAATATATACTTTTTGTTCATATTATACATGATTATTTGCCATTCACTGTGGTCATTTATGTCATAGTTATTCATTTATTCATATTATTTAATACTTGACACGTATTTAGTCACCTATTATAAGAGTGTAATTATTACTATTGGTGCTCATTATCTATAATATTAAAAAGGCGTGTCTGTGTCTAACTGGCATAACTCCAAGAGGAAAGAACCTAGAAACCTGAAATTTTGCACCCATACTAATTGGACATTGAGGGTGTGCACCTGGGTATTATTACTTATCCATGTGTGCATCTTTTTAAAGAGGCAAGCAGAAAAGAAGTGGTTCCTTATATTACAAATAGAAATCACATAGAGACAGACAGACACATGCATGGTGTGCACTTCGATATTATTACTTATCCATGTGCATGCACTCTGGTGCATCTTTTTAATGAGGCAGGCTAATGAAAAATCACATAGAAAATAAGATGACTGCCACAGCTCCAAGAGAAAAGAACCTGGAAATCTGAAATTTTGCATCCATACTAAGTGGACCCTGAGGGTGTGCACTTGGGTATTATTACTTATCCATGTGCATGCATACACGAGCACATCTTTTTGTGAGGCAAGCTAGTGAAAAATCACATAGCATAAAATATGTGACTGCCATAGGTCCAAGAGCAAAGAACCTAGAAACCTGAAAATTTGCACCCATACTAAGTGGACTCTGAGGGTGTGCACCTTGGTATTACTACTTATCTACGTGCGCAAGCACATGTGTGCATGCATCTTTTTTATGCAAAAAACTACATAGAAAAGAAATTTGTCTGCCATGGAATGTTAGTGTTTTAACTACTATGTTTTAGTGATTTTTAAAACTATTATGGGATGTTAGAGTGTTTTCTAACTATTATTTTATACTGGTTTTTTAAAACTATTAAGGAACATTACAGAGTGGTTTTTGAACTATTATAGGATGTTATAGAGTGGTTTTTGAACTATTATAGGATGTTATAGTGATTTTTAACTATTACTAGGATATAGCCCATCAAAAATGATGTGCCAAGTACTACCACCCCACCGCATAATATACCCTAACCTCACATTTCATAGCTAACTAAAATGAATAAATTTTGCAAAATCAATCTTGACCAACAAAGAGGCAGAAAATGGGATGTTATACTGTCATGAATGCTTTCACACACCTTTTTTTGGTAATGATCAACAATCTGTATCATCACTTAGCAACAAAACTATTATGGGATATTATAGAGTGTTTTACCTATTATGGGTTGTTATACAGTAGTTTGTAGCTATTATAGGATGTTATAGGGTAGTTTTAACTTTTATGGGATGTTATAGAGTGGTTTTTAACTATTACAGGTTGTTATACAGTAGTTTTTACCTGTTATAGGATGTTCTAGAGTGTTTTAACTATTATGGGATGTTATAGGGTAGTTTTATTATGGAACTAGCATTCTTTTGTTTGACAACAGAGTGCACATTTAAGAATTCATTAATATTAAAACATTTTAATCTCAGAAATGTTGATTATACATTAACATAAAATATAAGGACAACTAGGGACATGTTGGTCCATCTAGGCCATCCCATCCACTAAACTAAACTTTAAAAAAAGAAAACCTCCAAAAATAGCCCTTATCATTCAAATATTTATCAAGCACACCAACTGTGCTGTTACAAAAATGGAACGGTTTTAGCTGAAAATGACTGCTACCTTGCCCAAATTTGTGTCCCCTTGTCCTACTATTCTTACCATTAAGTACAAAACAAGATGATGCAATGACACACTCATTTTCCATAACAATGTTAAAAACCTCAATCAAATTCATTCTAACTCTTCTTTCTTTCAAGAAAAATCAATTTCAGAGATCTTACCTGTCGTTACATGACAACCTTTTCATCCCAGGTATCACTGAACCCTTTCCAACAATTCGGTGTCTGTCATGAGTCCATGACTGAACATAATGCTCCAAATGTGATCTAATCAGTGACCTATACAAAGAAATTTAAACCTCTCTAGACATGTATTCATTATTTCTCTAGATACAACCTTGTTCTACTTGCGTTACCACTAACAACAGCACACTGCTTGGAAGCTCAAAAGACTGGTCAATTAGAACATCAAGATTCCTTTCTTTCATAACACAGTTCAGGTTATTCCTGTCAAAGTTATAATTCAACTTATGATAACCTTTGAGCAGTACCTTACATTTTTTGTAATTAAAAGCCATATGCAATTTACTTGCCCAGTGCACAAAATCATCTAAATCTTTTTCTAAAGCAGTAGCATCATCCTCACAGCCAGCAATACCCAGTAGCTTAATATCATCAGGTAATTTATTGACTATTCCTTCAAGAAAGAGTTACATATAGTTAACAAGATGAATTATGCCAGTACCATCTACCTCTTACATCACTGTCAGGCATATTCAGTTATCACAAGTAATATCAGAAAGTCTGATATTTGTTTAGTCATAGTACTTTGTTTAGCAAGATTGGAAAAAACAAAGCTTATGCTGTATACACAGTATTTTCATATAAAAAATGACAATCACACTATGTAACTTTTAAAGTAAAACAAACTTTTCAAGGAGAAATGTTTGTTATGCGTGTGAAATTGTATTGTTAGGATAATTACATTATGGTTTGTTAAAGACATTTTTGTAGTAAAGTATTTGTAGAGTAATGGTAAAATTGTTGCAAGAAATATAAAAACAAAGTTTATTATGCAAGCATAAAATATTTTTTCTTGAAATATACTGACATATGCAACTGAGTAAATTAAGTTTCATAGTTTATATCTGTCAGTTACAGAAAAATAGAATATATGATTTTCAGTATACAGTGTAGGGTAAAAATAGTGCAAAACTGTTAAATATTTCATCTAACCCATGAATCATGCATGCAAAGAAATAAAAATTGGGGTAAAAGAAATATAAGCATTAGTGCCTCAATTGATTATTATTTTAGATCTTATCATTTTGTTATAGACTTCAAATATTCTCTTAATTAGGTAAACATATCATAAAACATGGACAACAAGGGACTATTTAGTCCTTTAAGGCTGTCCTTTCACACCCTCTTGGGAGAAAAGTAAAAATGTAAACCCACTCTTTATTTTTCAGGAAATCATCTGGCACTGGCCTTCACTACTGCTGATAACTTTTTCATAACTTAATCATTTTTTAAAAAACAATAAAACTATCTTTACTGGAGCCTAATCTGTCTTTTACATATCTTAAATTTATGTTCTCTCATCTTATTATTTTCAGAATACAGCAAATGAAATCAGATGTCTTTATCCTATCAGTCCACCATAATCTTGTACACTTCAATAAAATCACCTCTTACCCTTCTTTTTCAAGAGAAAACAAGTAACAGATCTTAACCTATCTGTATAAGATAACTGTTCCATCCCAAGAATCATCGTTAGTAGTAGTCTTTTTCTGAACTCTTTCCAATAATTCAGTATCATTTCTTAGATAAAGAGGTCAAAACTGTACAAAGTATTCCAAATGTGGCCTAACTATGGTGGACAGAGCACAGATAGCCCATTGTGTAGCTTTGTGTTTAACTTCAAACAAACAGCAAGGGTCCAGGTTGACTGGACAATATTAATAAATTCAACTATTTATTTCTTCAATCCAGTTAATTAGTCTTTTTCCAAACTCCAACTGATTTGGTTTTCTTTCTCATAGTCTTCAACAAAATCCTTACTATCAGCATTCTTTAAGGCCCCAATCCACATTTTTACATTTTCAGACTTTTATCTTACTTAAAATTACATGCTGTTAGATTTAATGTTATCAGCTAGTTGTTTTTCATAAGCCCATGTGGATTTCCTAATTTCTTTTTTTAACCAAATCCAGAGTCTTCCTATAGTTCTATAAATCTTGCATATGTATATGAATTTTTTTTACACTTTTACAATTATAATTGGCAAAAGCCAGAACATATATCCCATATCATGGAGGGAAGAAGTCTTATCTGCACAGTGCATATATCCCATATTGTGGAGGGAAGAAGAGATCCCAATTAGCAGAAGGAAAGAAGTTGTATCTGCATCAGACCACACACCTCATGCTATAGAAGAAAGAGGAGGTTGTATCTGCACCAGAGCACATCTTATGCCATGGAGGAAAGAAGAGATCATATC